TCCCCCTCAACTATTTGCTCAACTTTTCGTTTTCTTTATGGCAGAAAAGAAAAAAATTACTTTCAGAATATAATAGAAGAGTAAAAACTAATCCTATATGGAAATTTGGAGCCGATTTTACACAAAATTGGCATTTAAGCGTTACTGTAAATGCAAAATTTAAAACATTATTTACAAACAAATATTGAGGTTTTGAAAAAAATTTTTGGATGTTATTTAAAGTACTTCTACTACCAACTGCAATAATTATACAAATTGCTGGAAACATGCGTATTAAAGGCATGAGAGATATTTAAAGAAAATTACATTTGTGTAATTTTTGAACATACAAAAGAATACAGCAAAATTAATTTTATGTCCTCTTAAACAGTGGAATTAGCACTATCCATAAGAAAAGTTTCAAGAAAAAATTTGGAGCTTTTTTGAGAAAACAGCTGTTAAGCGTTTCTGAAAAAGCAGAATTTTAGCTTGTTTTAACAGAAAACTTGACTGTATAGGATATGATGTATATTATATGATATGATATGTGATATGATTGACTGTATATGTAACTTTATATGATATTATTTCAAGAACATGTACCTTTAAATGCAATAACGTGCAACAAACCGCTGCTAATGTAAATATTAATGATGTGAGAGGCTAGGAAAAAAATTAAGTTTTCTAATTTTTGAAAAAACGAAAGAATGGTGTTTTGTCATCGCATACTGTACATTTAGCACCACCCCTACCAAAAGTTCTAAGAAAAAATTTAGAGCCCAATGTTGAGAAAATCTTGATTGTTATTTTTTTCATATTCCACATATTGTAGGCAATATCGTGAGAAAACTACTAAAATATGGGGGGAAAAAAAAAGAACAAATGAAAGAACTAATTAAGTAGAACAAATTTCATTTGAAGGAAAAATGTCGATCTTCAATTTTGAAGCTGTAGGAAACCGCCAAAAAAATTTTTAACTTTGCAATCTTCGATATGTTAGTGTTTACCCTGAAAATCATCCCTATCCCCTTTTATAAGTGTATTTTACTCTATTCTTACAAGAAACTGTGTCAAGGCCCGCCATGAATTATAAACATAGAAATGAATTATTAAGGAAGTGTTTATTTGGATTTAGAATTGTTCATGGTGACTTGATATGTCATTATGTTGTAGATTTGTTATAATAAGTGTGGTAATGGAAGTGTAGTACAGTACCATTTTCTTTAAATGAAATAATCTTAAAGTGAGGAAGTTCAAAAAAGAGCAAGAGTGCTGGGGTAAAAGGAGAGGCGTGAACAACATTGTGAGAGCAAGCGAGAGCATGAACGACATTGTGTGTGAAAGCAGAGCATTGGAGTTGCCAAGTAGCAACACACTAATACATCATGGATTACTTGGTACCAAACTCTGTTTGTTATAAAATGGCATTCTCTTGAAAATACTTGTGTGGAAAATTTTGACATCAGGTTAGAGTTTTAAGTGTTAAAATACACAAAGTGGCTTGTATTATGACATTTGACAATGAAATAAAACTTATGAATGTTTACTAAGCATGTTTAAATCATTTATTTAAGATTTTTTTAAGTTTGTGAGTGAGTAGAATAATTTCCTTTAGTGTGTACAACCCCACACTGACATATTGTATTCATGAGGAAATTAATGAAAATTTTAAACGATGAATATTCTGATATCAAACACCATACTAGCAAAGAGAAACCACTGAACTTGAAATCACATATCACCTACTTTTTGTTCCCAAAACCAGTAGATTATGTAGTTTCAAGTGTAACCTTTTGAATATTTGTATCTTTGAAATTAAATATTACATACAATAGGATATAAAAACATGTTTCTTATATAAAGCTCAATCAGTAAGTATGATCAATGTTTGTATTGTAACATTTTGATGATCACAGAAATGCAGCAGTAATGTTAAATGTTACTACAGGAACTTTGCTTTGTACACTTTTCCATGGAAACCAAGTTCTTGAGGAGTATAATAAACTCCATGGCTGACACAAAACTGAGAATTTAAATTAGATGGAAAACAAAGTGGACTTCATATAAAACATATTAACGAAAGCAAAATAATAGGCCAGATACAAAATAAAGAACTCTTGAAAAAGTGTTAAAATGGCAGCAAGGCAAGTCAAACTATGAAAATTGGATCGCTGTCTTCTCCGAAAATGAATATGTTGAATTTTGATTTCAACAGAAGAATGCAACACTACCACATTGAGTTAAGCCAGTGATGCCAACACTGAGTTTAGAAGTAGAAATGATAGGAGTGGTGAGAGTATGTTGTGAAATTCACATTTCATTTCATTTTAGGTGTTGGGTTACATGAAAGACAAGGAAAGTTAATTTGATTGAAAATAGCTCTGAAATACATAAGTTGGAAACGTAATAGAAGAAAATCAATAAAATAAATTTAGCTGATCACTTGAATAGTTGTCACCCTGCATGACGCAACACACTTGACTTAATGAATGACATGGTCTGTGTTGCAGCAACCCTTGAAATTGTATTAGTAATGTAATAACATTAATATTAGTTGGTATGCCAAGGAGAAAGAGAAGAGAGAGCAGGGGGAGTAGAGGGAGGATGAAAGGGAAGCAGAAAGAGAGGAGACAGAAGAGAGGTTGGAGAAGGAGAAAGGGAGAAAAAGAATCAGAACTATTAGAAGACAAATGATAAGAAAACGAACAATTGAATTGAAATTGAATTAATGCCTTATTTTACTTGACGAGACTCAGGCCATCAGGCCCGCTCTTGTCTGACCACGCAAATTTTGCTACGCTCCTTTCTCCAACTAGCGGAGAAAGGAGGTATTTCTTGGGCGATGAACAGGTGTTTTGAATTTTGCTCAGAGGCGACATATAGGTATGAGGATCTTTCACATGCAAGTAACATGGGACAGCCGGCGTTACTTCCCCTCTGAAGGAAGGCGTACGAAGGATATTTTCGCCCTTAAAAATCCATGGCGTCGATCGGGTTTGAACCCGCCAAGGAGTTGAGTCGAGTTAAGTTGGGTTTGAGTATAACAGACAATTACAACATCGCGCTGACAAAAGAAAAGAAATAAAAAAAGGACAAAAATGTTGACTTAGCTCCACTTCAGAAAAATATCAATATTTATGCCTCTGGTAGTGTTGTTTATGTTAACATGGGATACTGAGCAGGCTGCTCCAGAACATTGGTAATAAATAAGCAAATCAATTTCAATTTGACAGTGGTGTTTGCTTAGAATGTATCACAATGGAAGAAACATTATTATATATTGCACCCAAGACCCAAATATTAATTGAACCTACCCTACAACATTGTTTACTTGTTCAATAGTTAGATTAATGGCACAATTATATTATTTCCAGAAATAGAGCATTTAAAATTTATAAATCTTACTTTAAACAGCAGACAACCTATTTCCTAATTACATTATTATCTATTAAATGTTTTACCTGGACAGGCCATTGATGTCCTGATGTTTTGTAATTGGTAAAGTTCCTAACGAAGGTAACAATTCATCTGCACTAAGACGTGGTGCATCAGGAAAAACCCTGCAAAGAGAGAACATGAAAAATCAAAAGAATTCCTGTCACTCAAGACACAAAACCTATACAAGTACTAAAATTGAAAATGTATATGCTTACAAGACAAACAAATTTACTCTCACAAGAGCTTGTGAAGACTCTCTCTCTTACAGGACTCACGTTTGCAGACTTCCTTAAAGTTTCTATAATAAATTTATTTATTTAATCATAGGGAGAGGATGACACCAATGGTTAGATATACATATTTAGCAGGACATGTCTGTATATATAGTGATTGTTCTGGTGTACATACTTATTTCCCCAAATCCGCAAATTGTCCACATTTTCGTGTTACAAATAGCAATTGTCTTTTCAAGCACAGTACTCTAATGATTTTCCTACAATTACATTTGCTTACTCTCTTTACTGCAGTATTTTAGACACTAAGTTGGTGTACTGTGTCAACATTACATGGCGGTTCTTAGCATGTTAAAATAAATTGTTTCCATTAGTCTCAGCATCGTATCACACTCCTTATCTAGAAAGCCGTGAGTGTATTTTTTCCAAGTATTTTAGATTTTACAGTTAGACCAGTAGAAATAAACAGGAAGAAACAAGTCACCACTTCTACTATATGCTTGAACAAAAGGGTGTCAATTTCAGTATAGTTTACCCATTAACAAAGCAGTGTTTGCTGGTCCCCAAATGGTATAATAAAAAAAATAAGTATATGTTTACTGTTCAGTTGAAAATACAGAGAGTTCTGCAAAAGTGGGATTAGCACCACTGTTTTAACATCCTTTGCAACATTCGAGGAAAAAATTAAATAAATATTTCAAGCTGATTTTGAGGAAAAATGTTTAAAAATTATTTCACGCAAAATTACACAACCTCATATCAAGATCTTTCCTTGAACATATTTTCATTGAAGAAAAATATCCCTACCATCAATATTAAGTTGCATGAAGAGCCAAAAGAAAATTTTGCGATTTTCAAAAAAACCAAGAACATTAGCCAAAATGGGACCTGAGCGATCTTTTTAAGAGTCCTTTACGCTACACAAGGTGATGTTCAATAAAAATATTTATGAGAAAATTTTGAAATTGTCGAGGCTTTGTGTAAAGTACCCCCCCCCCCCGCCACTGATCAAAATACCCATTTCAAATTCATAGGGTCTTGACTTCATAAAGAGTGACCAGAAAATACCAATTTCATACAAAATCATCTGAACATGTAGGGACTAGGGATAGACCAGCGATGGACGGTTTTGCAGTCCATCAAATTCCTGGAATCAAGGACACACGAAATATGGATTCTCACAATACATCGTGTTAGTTGACAGTTAGTGATTTCATCTAAGGAAGCCATAAGTCCCATAAATGCAGTGTACGTTTCTTTTCCTTGGGAAGTGGCTGTGATCTTTTCCCAATGGATGGTGCAATCCGGAGCCGATCTACTGTCGGTTAGCGGGGTTTCCTCAACCAAGTATCTCCCACCAATGGGGCACCAACCAAGCCTGGACAAACTCTAAATTCCCAACCAGTCTCCAGGCATATGCAGTAGTGTACGGGGATCATACATTTTTGTTAAATAATGAACATTATTGTTATTGTACAATATTGTATATCATTTATGTAATGTAGATATGATAATACACAAAATTATTGTTTAAATAATTACATAATTTGAGCATAAACTAATATTTAAATTAATTTTGCCAAATGAAGGAAGGTAAACGAAAACACTAGCTCTGGCGGGGGAGGGGGGCATGCCCCCTCCCTGGATCAGGTGCATGTTAGAGTAAGTGTGAGTAAGGGGCTATTGATAGGACAAGGAAGACAGAGGAAAGATTGCACGTAGTCTGTGGCCCATTTGTTAGGGTACTGTTTGCCTGGTGTTGATCAAAACCATGGAAAACCACTATTCAGAGCAGGCGGCCTGTAGAATTCTCCACAAAGTGACTGAATTCAACCTAGCCAACAAAGTGGTGTCAAAAATCTTGCCACTGTCTATTCTCAAACGTGGAGCCACATGGTCAGAGGCCCTGCAGTGACATCAGGTGATGTCCTGAGCTACCTCCCCCGCAATACACCACGTTAGAGGAAGTCATTTACTACACATATGAACAACATTTATTCATTATATTCTGGGCCCCTGGTAATGAAATGAGTTTTTCTGTTGAAAAATCACAGATTTCTGCTATTGCATTACTAATAAGAAGGCTCTGATTCTGGTGATCTAAAAATTCTTTGAAAATGACCTATAAAATGACTTGAAAATAAGAGAAAAATTATGTATTAAGTGACTTTTTAAATACTCCAAATTTGTATGAAAATGTTTATTAATTCAATGAATTTTACAATTTTAAGTGAAATGTATTTATATAAAATTATATTTAATATAGTCTTTATTTTAGGAGGAAATGTAATCCTTAGTTCTGACCTTCCAACAGTCGGTTTTGAAAGGTCGGGGAAGTTATCATAGATCTTGAAAATTTTGAGGGTTCAAAAAACAAGAGTTCACTGCATTAGTGAATATCATCATGAACTGATGATACAATAAATACTTTGTTTTAGTGTGTCATAGTAAATTCTTGAAGCATGGACTAACAAAAACAGGAAAGGAAAACAAAATGTCTAAAAATGACATGAAGGTCAAAAGACCTAAAATTGCAAAACATAATAACTATTCATTTGTCACCTACGTGTTATGATAAACATTCATTTACAAGTTAGCTATATCTATAATGCATCAATGAAACATGACATGTCGTTAGAATTCGAATACCTGCTAACAAGCAATGACCTGAAGTTAACACTAATACCTTAAATAAAACTGAAATCTGACCATCAAAAAAGTCCTAGATCAGAAATGAATGTGCAACAAATATCACTGAATTAATCAACGTTTTACTAAGGTATGTGAAATGCTACTCGGTTGGTAGCACACATATTCATAAACAAAATTAAAAGTAGTGTTTAAATAATACTTCAATTTGTTATTTTTATAATACATTCTTGGTCTGCACATTTCACACTATGCTTTGCCTTAATAATTTAAGGGCTTGGCTCTAGATGGTTCTATACCAAATTGCATTCAACCAGAGAAATAAAAAGATCAAGCTTCAATCCTCTATCTGTTCCCAGAGTAATGAAAATATTTTAATGGTACAGCATCCATTTGTTACACCAGCATCACAACACTTATACAAAACGTAATCATTTATAGTGAATGTGTTAGTATGATTGGCTTAATTTTGATTAAAACATGGTATAGCATATCTAGAGCTAAACCTTTCAAGTGAATTTGTTCTTTTGGGGCCACACAGAGTAGCTCCTCACCTTACAAAACTGATCATCCCTTATAACAAATAATAGCATTGATTATGTAACTTTTAGAAATTTTTTGTCATTCCTGAAAAGTTTCAAGTCTTGAAAATATGTGTCATTGATAAATTTATATGCATTTTCCTCACAGATGACTCAGTTGACGCTCAGAACTTCAAACAACTGAAGGTGTTTAAATAGGCCCTTTGGGTCACTCCATTGAGGTTTTCCATGGAGGAGGAACTAGGGGTGATTAGGGATTTATGCACAGAATCTTTTGGTGGGGAGGGGTAGTGAGCAATGTATGTAACTTAGTATATACATATAATATACAAAGTGTGGGTGGTTTCACTGGTGAGGCAAGACAGTGAACATTACAAGAAAAGAATAGATTTCTAACTCACTGCTGAATGACTATAGAAGATATTCATTATCATAAACTAATGTAAGGAAGATTATATTGTCCTTTATCACAATTATTGGTTTAAACGAAGTAAACGAGAAAAAAAACAGCATACACTACAATAGAACAAACTGATCAAGCAGATTTCCTCAGTTAAATGCTGCATTTTTCCTGGACCAAAACCATTTTATAATGGATAAAGGAAATGTACACATACACTAATATTTCAGTAATTCACATACCTCCTAAGGAGGATGACAGCTCTCCTAGCTACTGTATCTTCTGGGCGCACACAATGAGTGATTTCATCGGCTGCAAATCCACTGCAATAAAGATATATTTTCAATTTATCTTTTCATTTCAAGGATGCCTCAATACCTCCAAACGGTCAAAGCTATGTAGTGTAAATAAAATGTTGCCTTTCTACATCAAACAAGGTTGACTTTTACTTCCTCTAGTATTGTCACAATTTTCCCCTCTGAATTTTGTGGAACCAAAGCAAGGAAACCAACTACCAGCTTGACTTGTAATTTTTCTTTTCCAAGCAATCTTTGGTAAATATAAGTAAAAGTCTATATAAAAAACTGAAGACCTATGGAACTAAGGACTTACCTAAGCACTGTCACACAGCCTCTCGATAACGGTAAACACAATATAGGTTTGGAGACTCTTATTGGTTTGAAAGTAAATTTGCAACCAAAACTCAGAGCACTGTCACTCATGAAGGATGCAGAAACAATTGGCCTAGAAATAAAAAATTAAAACACTTTCAAGGTGATATACTATAAAAAATTACAAAACATCTTATATTAAACAATATAATACTAACCTGTCAAATATATGAATTGGGTCAATGTGGGACACAATACAACCCCCTGGCTGGTAATCATTGATGACAGCAGAATTTATAAAACCTTCAGGAACAATTCCAGCTTTCACAAGTGGCCTAATTACTAATTGATGAACCCATTCAGGTATTGGATCAACTTCCCCCTCAGGGTACAATCGTTCCATACCAGGCCCTCGTTTTGATAGCTGAGAACCATAAGTATAGCCTTCTCCAAAGAAGTACCTATGTGCAAGAAAATGAAAGAACACTTTTTAAGCTACAATATAACTTTTTTGTTATTTTGTTCATCATTATAAATTCTCTTAGAAAATTGCTCAGCTGTGAACATTTGTCAACACAAAATACATTTCAATTAGTAAATAGTAATATTTATTTTCTCAAATTTCATTGTATGTTAGTGAAAACACTATTATAGCATGAAGGCATCAAATACAAAATTTAAAACCTACATATGGAACAGAAGATAATCTATCTGTACTCACTTGCTTCTGAGAGGGGCTCGATCCACTGTGCATTGTTTGTATTTGCCCTGATCTGCAAGTTTGACAACTTCGTCAATTTTTCTCTCTATTGCATCACATTCTTCACTGTCAAACAATCGACGTTGTTGAATGCCAGTATGTATTTGCTTCAGTAATACCAAATTGTCATCGACACTGTGATGTGGTAAATACTGATTGGTATTCGGATACCTAAAAACATTTATTTCATAGTACCATAGGCAAAAACACCATATTAATACCATTCAGTATAGTAATATTTTAGTTGCTCATAAATATTAATACATCATGTATTCCATAATAATTAATAAAGAAGAAATAATGGGTGGAATAATTTCAGTTACAAAATATGGGACACCTGGTAGGTAATCAAGGACACGGGACTTATAAATAAACGAACGGTAAAGTACATTGAAAGGCAATGTAGAGACTCAATTAACCTCTAACTAGAGTTTGCGTAGACATGATTGAAAATACAAGAATTTCGTTCGTTTTCGGAATTACTAAGGTTACATTTCTAGCACCACCTCTCGGTTTCCCTTTATAACCTAGCGCATGTAGCTATAAACCACATTTCGCGCGTTTATGCTTACTAACTTCTTTTTCTTGTCATGTGGTCTAGCATTTTTCTGCTTAAATTGTAACTTCTGCCTTAAATCAGTATATCCAGCTGCCATTCTCCAATATAGCAACTATTGCGCACTTCATCGCTCGCACTGCCGCTGTCGTTCGAGCCTCGAGCACTGACGAATTCAGAATGCTTTCTATTTTTCGTGTTGGACGGGTCAGGTCCAACGAGAGCAAAGCTGATTGCCAGGGTGGGGATACTATTAGAGGGAAATTCAAACCTAGAATGAAACGAAAATTCACAAAGAAGTAGTGAAAGTAGTTTTCTTTCCTGACCTTTTGTTTCTAAAAATGTGTAGCTCTTTTTACAACAATATTTTATGATGGTATTATTATTATTATTATTATTATTATTATTATTATTATTATTATTATTATTATTATTATTATTATTATTATTTTGTTGCTATTTTGCTGAAAAGGCTTTTGTTTGCAGACGAGCATTATAGCATATCAAAAGTTTTAGGGAGACGTATAGAGAAAAAAACAACTCTAAATGGTTTTAACTCCTGTGAGTATATATAATGATAATACAAATATAATTTTAAGCTGTTCCTTAGACTGAAATGTTGACTTGCTCATTAATATATATTTTAGAAGAAAAACTCATTGGCAATGTTATCACTGAAACAATTTTGTTTTTCATTTCTCAAACACCTCCTGCAAAAATATAGATTTTTTTCGATTTCTCTGACATCTTAGAAACTTGTAATTGTAAAACTTAATACAGAACGCGGAGGTGGACTTCAATATATATCAAGAATTTTGTTATTTCAATTTGAAATTAACAAAAATCTTTATATTTAAAATGCCAAGGGATTTCGTTTAGAATGAAGATCAAGCTTGAAACTCAACCAAATTTCGTGATTTGTGCTGTAAATGAAAATGTATGGCTTGTTATTAACTGGTTTTATAATATAGACGCTAAATTTTAGTAAAATGATAAAATGAATAGAATAAAATCTCATCGTTTATCATTGTGTTGTTTGCTTCTGAGCGTTGCAATTGGTCAATTGAAACCATTCGATTTTAATATGCTAGAAATGTACTTCTCCCCTATAAGTCACATATAGTTTTTACGTTCTTTGACGAAAATAAATCAAATCAAATTACCCGTCCCAATTCTTATTTAATATGCTTGAATGATATCAAGTTAATAGGATTTGGCATGTAACACATTGCATTGTCCGGCTGGATCAGGGATTCCCAGCGAGATTGGTGTCGACCCTTGGGGGTCGATGGAATTGAAAAGAGGGTCAATGATGTTCAAAGGGTCGACTAAGGGTCTTTAGATGAATGCGAACTGGCAACTGTAATCAAAACCCCCATCAATTACATACACACACACACACACACACACACACACACACAAACGTTATAATTTTCTTACACAGAGAAACAAAACATACCTAATAATATATTATAAATTCGTTTCTCTTCTTTTGTATCAGGTATCAGTCGTTCATTCTTAGGATGGGGTCAACTTGGTTGATGCAGCTGGTGCACCGCACCAGTTCGTGGAAATAAGGGGCCTCACTAAGGACCACAAGGGGCGGATGTCGGTAAAGATAAAACAAATGCTTATTTGCTTATTTTCTCCATTATACCAACCATATTACGTATTCTATAATCAAAAAATAATTAAAGACAACTGATAATGATGGCTAAGACATCGAAAGCTGCTATTGCATTAAATAATATTGTTGGCAATGACAACGTCTTTAATTATTTTATGAAAAATGCCAAAGATATCACACCACAACACCTATATTCTATAATCAAATTTAAAACAATTTCAAGGTTGATTGCAGACAGGATCCTTATTTCGATTTTTGCTCCTCGGTATTTTAAAATGTGTTTATGAAACTGCTAAGGATGTTTAGATAAGTCAACAAATTATAACTATTATTCAAAACAATATTATATCGCAGGAGAAAATAGTCCCAGGAATACGCACTGTAGAAATGTTATTGTTAGAAAAACTTTCAACGTTTTGTAACCATTGCAGAACAATGATTACACACTCAGAAGAGGAAACGACTTCCATTATTGCAAATCGATATATTTATAAAAATATTGGTCTAAGAAATCCTTAACTTGAAGACATTTATAAGCAATCCTTTGTGTTTTGTTTATGTATGACACGTTGTAGACAATAATACGTTATAAGGGGTCGATTGGGCACACACTTGTTTAAAGGATCGATGAACGAAAAAGCTTTTCTTCGTTAAATTTCTTTACTTGACCTTTCCTTCTGGTTTCTGGTTCATTTTTATCCTCCGCACCTCTTTTGGATCCACACACTACCTTACTTACCCCTAATCCAATGTCGGCTGGTGTCCCAACAGGCAGGAGGTTGCTCCTCCATCAAGTGACGTAAATGCAATTTTTATAATTTAAAACACGAATATATAATAGCATGTAAAGTGTCAAGTAAAGTAATTAAAAATAGGTTAAATAATAGTTTGTACTGAAACATTACTCACATACTTTTATGCTTAGTGTCCGTGTCAGGCATACAATTATACGCCTTGCGCGCACGTGGTTCAGACTTTTATTTCCTCTGGGCACTTACGATTTTACTTTCCCTTATACTGTGATGTGTAGTCACAAAGTTCATTAAATGGGAATAATAAATTTACATAATTATAAATATGGACGGTAGCAACAATGGGGTATAGAAAAGAAACCGAGATAAGCTTTGTTTAGGGCACAATATAAGCAAACAGAAGAGATAGTGGGGAAAATACATAATATGCTAATAAATAATGCAGTGAAAGGACACGTGAGCAATTTCTGGGGGGCAGAAAATAAGAAGAAACGAATTCAATCTCTCCCCCTCTCCCTCCCTCTCTCTTTCTCTCTCTCTCTTTATATATATATATATATATATATATATATATATATATATATATATATAAGAAAAAATTGATTTCGTTTTTTAGAAAATTTTGAAAATGTCCGGGTACTTCTTGTAAAGTACCCTCAAACTTTACAGATTCTACTCCAGCCAGTTCGACACGAGGCGCTAGTAGTGCTCACAGACATCAGACCGACGGATAGACGGACGGACGGACAAATAGACAGACAGACGTTTTGAAAAAACACTTTTTCGGTATCTGGAGACCCCAAAACACGTATTTCCGTTGAAAACTCGAAATCTATTTTCCGCAGCATTACATAACATTCTCTATATTACGTATATTACTCCTTATATAATGTACGTATACAGGAAAGTAAAAAGCATCCACTCGATATCTCACCCTCCCAATCCCACCCCTAAACCCATAACCTTAGGAAACCAACAACCCATAGCCCAAAACCCACAGCAAAAATCCCCTATCAAAAAGCAACCCGTCCATTATCACCATAATAGTCACTTCATAAAAATAAACTCAAAAATCGTCAACCTGAAATAAAATAATCTGCCTTCCCTACATAACCTCTAACAAAATAACATTTCTTTTACAGTCTCAATAAAATAACCTGTGGTTCTACAGAATGGCACAAACTTTCCCGTATTAGTTTTCTATTTCCTTTGGTCTCGGCTAGCTAATCGATCTAGTCACATATTCTTGCCAGCCGCCATTTATCGCCACCAAAAGTACATTTTTTGGCATTTTCTTAATTTTTAAGTTTCCTTATTGTCCAACGGAAATATTATTGTAAGATTATTAAAGAACAGTAAAACCTCTTCATAAATGGCAATTTATCTTCGAAAAATTTGGAACTGTTTTAAAAAAAACTGTCGTTTAGGCGCTTCTGTAAATTCAAAATTTGCACTTTTCACAGAAAACTTTTACGTTTTCGAAAAATTTCATTTGAAGTATTATAATTCACAAATACAATAGTGTTTACAAATCGCAGAAAAAGTGCATATCAACGGCGGGGGAGATCTTTAAACAAAATTACATTTGAGTAATTTTTGAAAAAATAAAAAAGCAACAGCGAAATTAACTTTACGTCATATTAAAGAGTGCAGTTAGCACTATTCGTTCGAAAAAATTTGGAGCCGTTTTTGAAAAAATGGCGTTTGAGCGTTTCTGAAAATGTGGAGTTTTGAGGTATATTTTTACAGAAAACGGTCGTTTTCGAGAAACATTATATTTAAAGCACATGTACTCATAAACACAATAATGTGAGCAAATCGCCGCTAATAACGACAGGGGAGGCAAGTCAAAAAATTACATTTTTGTAAGTTTGAAAAACCAACAGAATGGAGCAATAAGTGGTTTATGTCATAGAGTACATATAGCACTATCTTTAACAAAAGTTTAAAGAAAAAATTGAAGCCGTTCCTGAGAAAATCTTGTTTTTTGTATTTTTTTAAATTGCAGATATTTCATGCAATACTGCGCGAAGACTACTCAAATTTTCATAAACATGTACGTGACTTTAATAAAAAAACTCACTGTGGAGGACCAATTGTGTTTGAAGAAAAAATCGTTATCTGTAATTTTGTAGTTTTCGAAGTCACCGAAAAAAATTCATACTTTCCATTCCAAAATTCAGTGTTAAACGTGAAAATCTGACGTATGCCACTTAAATTTACGTAGTGTAGGGAAAGTTATGTTATGCTGCGGAAAATCGATTTAGAGATTTCAACGGAAATACACGTTTTGGAGTTTCCGGATCCCGAAAAAGTGTTCGTCCGACTAGTGTGCGTGTGTGTGTGAGTACTACTCGCGCCTAAACCATATATTGGACTTTTTACAAAATGAAGAGACCCGTCTTAATCTGGCTCGTGTGGAAACTTTGAGATTTTGAAAAACCTTCTTCAAAATTTTGGGGTACTTTACATAAAACCCTCCGGACATTTTAAGGCTAAATGTCCCGACACTAGTACAATTTGTAGCCACCACGTGGCAGCTTCAAAATAAGTAAAATTTACTTTACCAATAACGTCTGAACCAATGGTTCGATTCTCGAACTCTAAACTGCATTTGACGCCCTTTTAAAATAGAATTTACGCTACGATGACCTTTTCCCAAAAATCAAACAAAAACGCGAATTTGAAATTAGTTCAAAAACTTCCGAGAACAAATTTTAAAAAGTGGCCTTATAGCGCGATGGCGACATGCTTCCTGAATCCAACGCCGTGACAATCTGCAAAATCGACAAAATAGGAGGGAGCGTCGTAAAGTGAAATTTAACCAAAATGCCT